ATTCTCCGATAAGTTACTCATACTTTATTATATGTTACTAATAAAGTATAAGTAAGTATTATTGTTTTTGTAGATGAAATCTGATCTCGAAGAATTGAAGGTTTACTAATTTAGAGATTTTCTTTTTATCATTATATTGTGATCAGACAATTAAAATGACTTTTTTTGAGTATACGATATCTGATATAACGTCAATCAAAGACCAATGAAACTTCACATTAATGTGACGGAGGCAAGACTATCAAAAGGCTTTTGGAAAAGTGAGCTAGTCTTGTTTGCTATGGTCTCCCAAAGCTGTATCGAAACACTCACAATATAGATCTTCCGGCGTAAAATTCGCTGTAACCCGTTTTCGAATACTTTTCTAACACTGTTAGGAAGAAAACTATCCTCAGCATAATGTGTTACAGTTTTCCCAAGGTGGCTGACAAAATGGACAAATAGGACAACATTTTCTTCTTATCTGCTAAACTTAGCAGCCAAAACTGGTGGAGACTGATCTGCTCAAAAATCGAACCAACTGTGGAGAAATAACTGTGACTTCAGCATCCAGCATGCGTACAACGAAATTGCAGCCTTGAGGTCAATTGAAGGTGTGCGTACACAGTACGTATAAAATTGTACCCCTTGGCCGATATAGTGCATCTATATTACAATACGTTAACTTTTCTTTCTCCCAGTTTTCTGCTGCTATGAAACATGGAATGAAATTTTAACATAAAAACATATCAAATGGAGCTAACACTGAAAGGAATTGTGAAGTACTATGAATCGATCATCCTGTCCGAATTCGTGGATATGGTGACCAATTGTCTTATTTTTTTTACATGTCGTAGTTTCAAAAAAGTTTCCTTGTCCCCTCCTCCAGTTCAACCCACTTCCCCACCAAATTTCAAAACCAAACATCCTGCACACTTTCCGGGCACTTTTGTCATCAGGTACCTCCCTCCAATCAAGACTAGAATTTTTTTCACTATTCAGTTTGCACTAGTCGATGCCTTTAAAACCAAATCATCACTTTTGCATCTGACATTTCCTGTTCATTACTGTCTGCAGTAACTCAACTGAAAACGTTCTTAAGTATTCAGTCAAAAACAGACGGGTAAATTTGACTAAGTTTCACCGATCAAGTCATTTACTACTACGTCTCGAGGACATTTCTAAATAATAAAGGACTCATTTCTCACCTTTCTTCTCTGGAAATTCCATCACTTCGTGGCCAGCAAGATGCCTAAGATTCAAGATAACGTTGTTTATTAACTTTTTATTAACTTATCAATGAATTATTTTTGTTTCTGGTTACTGACCTCCCACCCATCTATCCTGAATGACAGCCTTAGTTATAGAAAGAGGCTGTACATTAACGGCCCATTAACTGATCTTTTCGAGCGGTTGCTAAGGAAAATTTTACCCTCATATAACCTCGTCATTTTTAGTTAGTTCAATGTTATTTCATGTATTTTTATTTTTTCATGATCAGTAACACCAGTGCTGACGTCATCAGGCCACGCCCATGGTCATGTGACAGATTCAGACAAAATGCAAAGGCTCCCAGGCAAATTACGTTATCGGGATTTTGTTCATTGATTTAATATTTTAATTTTAATCCTCATTACCCTATGCATAGATTTTGTTTCATTTCTTAAAGGCCAGATTTTGAGAGAAGTTCAAAATATTGAAAAATTCGTAATTTTCTGGGAAAAGTACGATTTCACAAAAGCAATGCATAGGTATGTTTCCAACGTTGGCTTTAATCGAAACTCGGCGAAAAAGGCCGATAAACCGCGTTTCCTTTGACACTCAACGAAACCGAAAGTATCCCCGATATATATTGG